TACTGTGGAATTTTTAAAACTTATTGATATTTTTAACTCTTTCTCCTAAAAGTCACATGTCAAACAATTACTTATTTGTTAAAGGATTCTAGTTATTGAGATTCTACTGAACTATTTGACTGAGTGAATTTAAAAATTTACTCTTAAACTCTCTTTTTCAGATTTTGTTATGGATGCCAGGGGGAATTGAAAGACCAACATGTAAGTTCATTGGCTCTCTAAGTTTTGAATAGGTTGTTAAAGACTAGGCTCGTATCAGGTTATTCCTCCTAAAGATAATTACAGTAGGTAGCGGTAAAATGGGAACAAAATAGTTTAAATAGTAGTTTTGTTATTCTGCATTCTAATTTTGCTATAAAGATATTTTAGTACTTTGTCTTCAGTTTCAAGCTAAACTGTATTTAGTTTGGAAGTATTTAAGATTTTTTTCTATATGTTACACTTTAGGCTTAAGTCTTCATTTAAGGCCACAGATAAAAGGTGATTCCTCCATTGTGCCAATGAGAAAGTATTTTTTAAAATTTCGAAGAGGGCCAATTTGAATATAAACTTGTATAGATGCAAATAATATAGATCACTATCTATTTTTAATTTTTTATTAATTTAGTTACATATCCATATTTAAACTATGCTTTATAAACTCTATAAAATATTAATTGTAAGTATTGCTTATTTATTCCACTCTCACATTTCATAAAATAGTTTTATTAAATTTTATATATTTGTGACATCAGTAACTTCGTCTTTACTGGAACCACTTTTTGAATCATTTGACAGTTTTTAAATAACACCTCATCTTTACTTTTGTGTTGTTTTGAGTTTTAGTGATTTTTGAATTTGTGTTGTGATACTGCCCTGGAAAGTTTATCTCAAGGCACAAGTACCCATATTTATAATGCTGAAAGTACAATGGGTTGTTTTCCTTTTTATTTGTCTTATGTTTGTCATTTAAAGGTTTAATTGAAAGGAAATTATAACTTGAGATTGTGAGGCCATTTCCTAAGAATAACTAAATCTGTGTTAAATTTTTATGCTTCTGTTTTTAATTGAATCAGTCAGGTGACCTCTCTAAGCATTCAGAACTATTAGGTCATTAAATATGAAATGTCCGATTTCGAATCCAAAGTTTAGTTTATTATATCTCAAACAAGAAGCGGTACAATTAATCAAAGTATGTGCCTAAACTATCGACACAATTTTGCCATCTTAATGGTAGCTTGCTCTTATGCCAGCAGCAAAGAACCCTGGAGAGTAAGTAGCAACGAAATCATGAAAGGCATTTTCCACAGCTTGTTGAGAATTGAATATTTTTCCTTGGAAGAAGTGGTAGTCAGTTGGTGCAATGTCTGGCAAATACGGTGGATGACAGAGAGTTTCCAAGACCAGCATCTGTAGTTTGAGCAGCGTGTTTGTGCAACATGTGGTTGAGCATTGTCTTGCAAGAGGATTGGCCTGGGTCTCTATTAACCAGTCTCGGCTGCTTAATCACAAGCATCCTCATCATTTTGTCCAGTTGGTTGCAGTACACGTCTGCTGTAATCGATTGACCAGGTTTCATGAAGCTATAGTGGCTAATACCAGCGCTGGATCACCAAACAGACACCATTAGCTTTTTTTGATGAGTATTCAGTTTTGGACTGTGTTTCAGCATTTCATCTTTACCCAACCAGTGTTCCAAATGCTTGAGAATGTCAAAAAGAATCCATTTTTCATCACATGTCACAATATGGTGTAGAAATGGTTTGCCTTTGTGTCGTGAAAGCAAAGAAAGGCAAACTTTGAGAAGATTTCTCTTCAGATGCTCATTTAATTCATGTGATACTCATCTATCCAGCTTCTTTACCTTGCCCACTTGTTTCAAATGATCCAATACTGTTGGAATAGTAATGTCAAACCTTGCTGCTAATTCACCTGTAGGTTGAGATGGATTCGCTTCCACTATAGCTTTCAGCTCATTATCCACCTTGTTCTCAGGTCACCTAAATGGCTCATTTTCAAGATTAAAATCACCAGAATGGAACTTCTCAAACCATTGACATACTGTGCATTCATTAGCCACATGCCTCCCAAACCCTTACTGCAATACTTTGAGCTGTCTGTGCTGCATTGGTTCCACGACGGAACTCATATTCAAAAATAACATGAATTTTTTACTGATCCATGTTTCACAAAAATTGCTCTAAAAAATTTAAAAGATAATCACAAGCTAAAACATCCATTTGAAAGAATGAAGATGTACCTTCACAATACAAAAAAAAAAAAAACCAAAAAAGAAATGTCAAAGTGGAATGTCAGAGATACCAATTTTCATAGATAGTACTTAAGGAAATCGGACATTCCATACTTAATAACCTGGTAGCACTGGTTTCAAGCTCATCTGTCTTCCCCCAAATAGTTTCTTAAAATGAAGTAATTGAGGCCAGGAGCAGTGGCTCATGCTTGTAATCTCAACACTTTGGGAGGCTAAAGTGGGAGGATCACCTAAGGGCAGGAGTTCGAGACCAGCCTGGGCAACATAGTGAGACCCTGTCTCTACCCAAAAAAAAAAAAAAAAACACACACACAGGGAAAAAAAAAAAAGTAATTGAGAGTGTGCTATAATAGAATACACTTTCAAGATTCAAAGACAAAGTCATTCCCTCATTTCTAAGGGGTAATTTTGAGGAAAAAAGTAAGTCACCTTAAATTTGAGAATATATGGTACATTGGATGTAATAAGTAGATGGGTGGGGAAAATTGATAGGGATATAAAAGAGCAAAGCAATTTGAATGTCTTCTAGCTATGCTATACTTGACTTTCGGAAACTACTTTTATTTATTCACTTTTCCTCTTTTCACCGTAGGTCTATATTTGCACTGTGTGCCAAAATGTTTTCTGTGTGGACTGTGATGTTTTTGTTCATGACTCTCTACACTGTTGTCCTGGATGTATTCATAAGATTCCAAGTCATTCAGGTATTTGATTGCAGCATGTAGTAGACATTGTATGTGTTAAAAAGAAAGTTGCAACTGTAAATAAAATGATTCTTTAGAAGAAGCTTCTTTTAAAACATGAGTAACAATTTAAGAGACTTTTTGCTAAGAAAATACAGTATTTTATTAAGTGTTTTATTTGTATCTTGTCACAGAAATGCCCAGAATTCAATAGTACTTGATTCAATTTTGTTTTTTATTATTTTGAGTATAGTTTTCAACGTCATTATGCATTATTATGTGTAAATTACTATAATGATTAAATTGATGTGATAATTTTATTGTTTTATAATTAAAATACAGAATATGATTTATTTTAAGTCATTTAGTGTAAGAGAAAATTATAAATGTAAATTCAGTAAAAGATGAAAATTAATTATTAGGAAATTAATACATATTAATACATGAAATGATATATTGGTATGTCCACCAGATGGGTCTTTTTAGGTTTAAACATTTGGAGTATAATGATAAAATAAATACATCTGAAATTATTTGTGGCTGAGGGAGTCTTTTTAGGTTAAACATTCAAACCCACAAGACTGTCACGGCCACTCTTTGCACCAGTTTACTCAAAAGGATATTAAACAGGAACAACCGCCTACCAGCAGGGCAGCATCAAGCAGTCCTCGTTAGCAGTAGAAGTCCTTGTAGCAGTCCACCTAATACAGTTTAGGTGCAAGAATATAAGATCTTCCACAGGCATCAAGGAGCCAATCTCTCTCCTTTTGAAAAATTTATTTTACTTTATATTTTTTAGAGATGGGGTCTCACTCTATTGGCCAGGCTGGAGTGGAGTGGTGTGATCATAGCTCACTGCAACCTCAAAACTCCTGGGCTCAAGGTGTCCTCTCACTTTAAACTCCGGAGTAGATAGGTCTATGATAACGCCACTGCACTCTAAGCCAGGCAACAGAGTGAGACCCTGTCTCAAAAAAAAAAACCAACCAAACAAACAACAAAGAAAAAGAAAACTCCTTAATATTTAAAATTCATTATGAAAACTGGATTTATTTTAAATACTTCTAAATGTATACATTTTTACTTCATATTCGTTTTCATTCTATTTGATATTTGTCTTTTAACTAAAGCATTTAGTTCACTTATTTAATGTGTAGATTAAATTTATATTTAATAAATATAAATATACTCTTATATAAAAATATTTATTACCACCAATGTATTTGGGTTTAAATCTACCATCTTTTTCCTGTTGGTTTTAACTATTTCATTTTTCCTTTTCTCTTCTTTTTTGCCTTCTTTCGGATTGATTATTTTCCACCATTCTGTGTTTTTCCTCACTAGTTTGAAAATTGTATACCATTTTTATTCATTTAGTGGTTACCTGAGAAATTACAACGGACAAAATGTCTTAAGTCCTCTAGAAAGTAGAGACTGAGACAAAGATGAGAGTGTTGTTACTGTATTTGGGAGCTGCAGGTTTGGAGTGGTGAGGGTCAGGAAGAAAAGGGAAAGCAAGGCAAGGAGACGTGTGATGTGGCGTGTTACCACAGTGGCTGGGCTCCATGACAAGCTGTGAGGAGACACAGGAGTTTCCCAGCAAGTGTCTTCACTTAGAGTATGGGACTTCTTTGGAAGCTTTATAAGGAGAACCTGCCCCACTGAGCAGTCCCTTGAAGGGAGAAAGGAAAGGTATTTATTTTCCTAACTTCTTCCATTTCCCATTGGTCATAGTTTGCCCACAGGGCTGTGTCATCCAGTTCTTTGGTAAGCGTCAAGGAAGCCACATCTCATGCTCCGTGATATGGCATTGCACCCAACTCTGGATGGTGCAGGGGCAACTCAAGTCAGGTAGGCTTGGTGCACTTCAGGTTGGACTCCAGCCAGCTCAGTGCAAAGTAAAAGGTAGGCAACACCTTTGGAAAGAAGGAAGCAGCCAAGGGAATCTCAGGAGGCATTAGAAATTTATGTCCAGTACTCATTCATGACGCATCAAATCTAAAGATGATATGTGTACCTTTATCTCCCCACACAGCACAAGGATAAAAAGTACCTTCATTTCATTTACCTCCTTCCTCACATATTCAGTATTATTATTATTGTATATTGAATTCTTTTTTTCTATTTCATAAATATTAATATTTGTTTTAACCAGTCAATATTTATTCAGATTTAATCACATATTTACCACTTTCTTGGCTCTTCATTTCTTCTTGCATCTCATATCTATTTAGGATCATTTTCCTTCTGCCTTAAGTACATCCTTCAGAATATAGTAGAGTTTGGGCCATGTGGTGTGCTGCCTATTATGTAAGAAATAGGGGTCACCAGGGCTTCACCTGCCCAGAATGGCAGTAGGAAAGAAGAACTGTAAGGATTTTGTAAGATTTCTCAATATTTTGTAACTTCCTCATGTTTGGGATCATGTCCGTGTTCAGCTGTCTGTATCCCTAATGGTTGGCAAATTCATAGCATGAAATGGTTTCGTGAGTGGTGAGAAAGGCTGCAACCAGCCCTTGGGAAGTGGGTTGGTGGAATACCAATCCTGAGGCCTTTAGTGCAGTGGTCTCCAAACTTTTTGGCACCAGGGACTGATTTCATGGAAGACAATTTTTCCATGGACTGGAGGATGAGGGTAGGGGTGTGAGGTGAGGCCCATTTCCTAACAGCCCACGCACTGCTATCAGGCTGTGGGTTGGGGATCAAAGCTGTAGTGGGTGGCTGAGTTTAGAAGAATGAACAAGAAGTTTGAGCCCTTGGGGCCTATATTAAGGAAGAAAAGGGCACAGCTGGTTGTCACACTTTTGGGAAGTAGTCTTAGGAATGCACTAGTACTCCTTTTGGGTCCCATTCTATAAGGGCAGAGGATTCATTATTTCCAGGTTATCTAATTCTGCTCTGGAAGGGGTATTACAAGATGGACTGGGGAACACAGCTGGGGTCTTTATAGGATTTAAATTCTTGGTTCCACCTGAATTATTTGAGTCCTATCCCAGGCCAGAATCTAGAAACAATACATAATTTGTTCATTCATTCATTAATTCACTCAGCAAACCTTGTACATCTGCTATAAGTCTGATGGGATCCTGGGCATTAGGGCTATAGATACCAAAAAGAGGATATAGACCCTAGCCTCATGGATCTGTGAACCTCCCAGTCTAAAAAGACGCAGACCTGTAAAGAAGTCTATGTGAAAGTGCTAACAATATGCCAGGTACCACGGGAATGCAAAGGAGGCGCTGTGCAGTGGGTTTGGAGGCAGTCAAATGTCTGAAGGGGCCGCACTGATAACGCTCATAAATGGAAGGAGGCCAGGGTAAGCAGGGTGGTAGCATATGGAAAGCACGTGTCCCATTAAGGGAGGCAGCTTCTGAGGTGCTGGGGGTCAGGGATAGAAGGGAGATGTTGTTTTCACTGTACATCCTTTTGTACCTTTGAATTTTATACATATGCATTTGTTACTTAGTCCAAAACGACTAAAAAAATAAAGCGTTTTAAGTGAGGT